ATATCCAAATAATACTCCCTCATCACTTGTGGATCAAATTTACCCAGGGACTCTTTACCACTATCGTGCACAAAGCACTTGTATCCAAATGCCTTAAGATGGGATATATTTGGCTTTCTCCCTTTAAGTAACTCATAGAGAGTCTTCTCAACAAGAGGTCTAGTCATGCACGTATTTATAATGTAGCATGCAGTGTTCACCAACTTCTGCCTAGAAGCTATAGGGCAGTTTACTAGAAAGAAGCATAGTCCTAGCCATTTCTTCCAATGTCCTATTCTTTCTTTCAACTACTCAATTTTGTTGTGGAGTCCTAGGAACAGAAAAATTATGATTTATGCCATGCTCATCACAGAATTCAGCAAATTTAGCATTCTCAAATTCAGAACCATGATCAGACCTAATTGATGCAAGTTGATTACCTAGTAGTTTATGAGTTTTCTAACAAAAGAAGTGAACATATCCAATGCTTCATCTTTAGATGTTAAAAATAGCGTCCAAGTAAACCTAGAGTAATCATCAACAAGCACCATAACATATCGTTTACCACATCTGCTCAATGTTCTTATTGGCCCATAAAGATCCATATAGGCTAGTTCCATCGTCCTGGTAGAGCTTACCATTTTCTTGCTTTTGAAAGAGGATCTTACCTGCTTCCCCCTTGCACAGGCCTCATAAATTTTATCTTCCTTGAACTTGATGTTAGCCAGTCCTATCACCAAGTCCTTAGAGACTAGTTTGTTGAGTTAGCTTAGACTGGCATGTCCAAGTCTTTTGTGCCAAATGAGGGGATCATTATCCAATACAATTAAGCAAGTGAATTCATTATCTGAAAGTGGACAGATCCACAACATATATATTATTCACTCTTTTTCCCTGCAAAACTATCTTGCCAGTGGTAAGATTAATAACAAAGTCTTTTGTAGAGGTGAATGCTACCATGTTACCTCTATCACACAATTGTGATACACTTATTAGATTGTACTTCAGTCCATCTATCAAGTAAACGTTCTTAATAGAGTGAAAATCAGTCTTGCCTACCTTTCCAACCCCAATGATCTCACCTTTCTTCCCATTTTCAAAGGAGACATTACCTCATTTAAGGTCCTCAAGAGAAAGGAATTGGTTCTTGCTTTCTGTCATGTGCTTAGAGCAGCCACTATCCATGTACCATATTTGGATGCTCCCCTTCACTCAGACCTACAAAAGGAAATACGGGATTCATTTTTGGAACCCAAACTAGCTTGGGTCCCTTTCTATAGGCAAGAAGAAAAATCAAATTCTTTTAGCCCAACTTGGCAGCCTATTCTTCCCTTGAACAAATTCATTGTTCTTTTGACTTGCCTTCTCTTTTACAATACATTTAATTTTATAGTGACCAGTTTTGCCACAGTGTGTGCAAATCTTATTCTCAAGAAGTGTGAGGTACTTGCTTTTTGGATCCCACTTAGGTGTAGGATTCCCAAAGCCAAGTCCTTTTCTGTTGCTACTATGGCATTTTTGTAGCCATGAAAGTGCATCGGAGGACCTGTTCCTTTTACAACTTCTGTCTAGCTCATGCTTGACCTTGCTTAGATCCTCCTTTAGGATTCTTACTTGCTCATCTCTTTTTTACAACTCATCTTTCATTTTTCCTACAGTTTCTTCTAAAGTGAGTTGTGTGTGGTCAATTTTCTTTTTACCTGTTCCTAATTTTAGTTTTAGATTTTCATATCTAAGTTCTAGGACAATTGTTTCGAGTTCATGAACCTGGTTCTTCAACACAATATTTTCATTTTCAGTTTCATTAGCCCTAAGTTTCAGGTTTTTGCACTTATCTTTTAAAACCACACATTCTTTTGACAGCTATTTATTTTCATTATTTACATCCTCAGATTCATCAATTAGCTCTAGCAGTAGCTCAGATAACCTTTCTTTAGACAAAAATTAAATTTTGTCTTTAAGATGAAGGACACTTGCCTTAGTTTCTTCATCAGATTTTCCAATGCCAATATGTGCTCGTTCATCATCATCAGCAGCAGCAGCATCATCATCTGAGCTTTCTCCCTAAGCATCGACCATAGCCTTGGTTGATCCTTTGTTGTTGTTTTTCTTTAGTCAAACATGTTCCTTCTTCCTATTCCTTTGTTCAACTCTTTCCTTCTTCCATTTAATTTCCCACAAAAGACATTTCTTGATGTGGTGATTAGTCTTTCCACACTTGTAGCAGCCATCATTGGTTTGTTTCTCAGGAGCTTTTGACTTGTTGTAGCTTCCACTTCTTGAAGAACTCTTTCCTCTCCTCAGGTACTTCTTGAAGTCCTTGATGATCATAGACATTTCATCATCTTCCAGATCAGATCCTTCAGTGATTCTAAGTGCTAAGCTCCTTTACTTCTTAGGTACATCCATCTTCATGGTTTGTCTCCTAAGTTCATAGGCAGTGAGATTTCCAATTAATTCATCCAGTGGGAGAGTGGCAATATTCTTTGATTCTTGGATGGCAGTGATTTTGCTTTCCCAATTATATATAAAACCTTAGTCAATATCTTCTTGGATCTTTCTTCTTCAAGAATAACCCTTCGAAGAGATTTTAGCTCATTTGTTAGTATAGTGAACCTTGTGTACATCTCTTAAATGGTTTCTTTTCTCATACTGAGAGTACAGTAGAGTTCCTCTAGATCTCTTTAACTGAGTAGTTCCTTCGTGAGCCACTTACAGTGTATCCAAAATTCTCTTAGCAGTGGCACAACCTTGGATTCTGCTGTACTCATCTGGACCAAGTCCACAAATAAGCCATTTCTTGGCTTTAACATTCTTCTCCCACTTCTTCAAGTCTTCAGTAGTGCAATCTGCTCTTGTCTTTGTCACATCTACTCTTTTAGTATTTTTCTTCAAGATAGCCAATGGACCATCAGTGACAATGTCCCATAGCTCATAGTCCTCTCCTTGAATGTGATCTCTCATTTTGTTTTTTCCACCAAGAGAAGTACTGGCCATTAAAGAGTGGTGGCCTAGCAGTGGATTGCCCTTCCTAGTTTTCAGGTGGTGCACTCATCTTGATCTTTCCCTAAGGTGTTAGCTTCTTCAAGGATAACCTGCTCTGATACCAATTGATGTTTTATACTTCAATACCATACAAAATGGGGGTTATTTGTGTGCATAGATTATAGAAGGACATGGTTCTTCTATGTGTTCCTTATACTACTATTGTAGAATAATAAATGCGAAAAGTAAAGAATACAAGTATTTTTACATGGAAAACACCCGTCTCAAAAGGTGAAAAAATTATAACCTACTACTCAGTAAGATTTTTCCCAATACTTTACTAAATCACTAAGCCAAACAACATTTACAAAACTCTTTATAAACCTAAGGATTACCTCTAATCCCTTTGTGGCAACCAGTCTCTAGCTGTTGTGACAACTTCAAGTTAACTCTAACTTGAATACAACACTTAGAGTACCTAGTACAATTGCGTCTAAGTAAAGCTGAAAGGTACAACTTAAAAGTCCTACTACAATGAAACTACGGAAAAGGGTCAGACCTGCCCCTAACGTATCAACTCTAGTCTAAAAATGCCCCTTGTTAACCTATTTTGCGAATAATGACCCTACCGTTAAAAATTTGGCATACTTGTGCCCTTAATTCTAATGGGTGAGTTGTGATATATTTAAACATTTTAATAATTCTACGTGGCGTTATCTGATTGGTTATTAATTAATCCATACCCCAAACCTAATTTTACCCCACCCATAACCCAAATGTATTGACCCGACCCAGCAAACCTTGTTCCCCCCCCCCCATATCATTTGACCTTAGGCCATTTTCACCCACTTCATCTACTCTAAGCAAAAAGGGCAAAATGGTCGGCGATTTTGGAGCTTGACTTCTTGGGATTTTCTGCGACAATTTTTTACTGAAGTTGACAGATTGAAGTTTCTTATTAAAGTTAAAGTCTTCTCTCCATTCAAGTAAGACTTTATTACTGATCTTTGCTTAGGGTTTCTTGAAATAAACAAATCATGTTTCTTCTGATATTCTGTGATGTTTCAGTTTGTCTTCAATGTTATTAGATGTCTTTATAGTATTTTTTTGTTGCATGTGGTTCCGCTTAGATTTTGGTAACATCTGGTTAATTTATTCGTATGAGGTTTTTTTTTGTCGATTTCAGTTGTTTATTCAAAGCTTTTATCTTTGTTTACTAAATTTTCAATTGCCTGTGGTCCCTTCCCTTTTTGTGTTGGTCTGGACTTAGGGGTTCAATTATTGTTGATGCCTAATTTCTTTATTCATATGGGGTCTACTTTTTTGTTAATTTCAGTTGTTTATTCACTGTTTTTGCTTTTGTTTACTTTTGTTTGGCCGTATTTGATATTTGTCCCTTTATTGGTAAGGGCTCTCTTTAACTCTTTGTCCCTTTATTTGTAGAAGTCCTCTTTAACTTTTTTGTTTGTTTATTACTGATAGGTCCTTTTTATTATTTTTTTATGGCTTGCATTTTTTTTCTTTGAAGAATGATTGAGAAGGTTGATTTGATCTTTAATCATGGGGGTAAGTGGTTGTTTGAACCTCAAGTGGTGTATCTTAAAAGAAGGAAGCATGTATTGATAGGTTATGATGTGGATTTGTTGTCTTATATAGACATTTGTTCTGAATATACTGAGAAGTTAGGTTTTAGTGAGGTGAAACAATTACTAGTAACAGGCCCTTTTGGTAGGTGCTTTTTAATTGAGGGTGATGCAGGCATTAGAATACTACAGTCTTTATTGTCAAACCAATTCAATGAGATTCAAATATTTGTTATAGATGAGGTGCCAGCTCCTAGCATCACTCAGCATGATGAACCTTATAATTTGACAGTAGAAGTAGATGTTGGAACTGATTGTGATTCATTTGATGAGGAGGAAACTAATGAAACTAACTCTAGTGATTATGATAGTGAAAAGTTAGAACTGTTTAGAAGATAAAGGAACAAAGAAGTTAATGATACACTAGACAAGTATAAAAACTTGGAGAAGGGTATGAGTTTTAAAGACTTGGCTGAAGCTAAAAGAGTTGTAGGGTACTATGCAGTTGCTAATAGGAAGGGCCTTAAAGTTAAGAAGAGTGAGAAAAGTAGAGTTAGGTACAAATGTGATATTGGATGTCCTTTTGTATGTTTTATATCCAAGGATAACAGAGATCAAGGATTTAAGATTAAGACTTTGAACATAAAACATGAATGTGGTCCAGCATTTCAGAATAGAAGAGCTACTCCCAATGCTTTAGCCCATTATTTCAAGAACAAAGTTCAAAATAATCCTAAGTACAAAGTTAAAGATATGAGGGTGGACTTGGAGGATAGATTCAGACTTAATGTTAGCTATTCAAAGATGAATAGGGTTAAGAGAATGGTCTTATAGAAGTTGGAGGGTGGCTACATTGATGACTATAATAGGTTAGAGGCCTATGCTCAAGAGTTGAGGGATAGTAACCCTGGTACAGATGTGGAAGAGGGAAAGAGGATATTTCTTAGAATGTATATATGCTTCCAAGCTTTGAAAAGTGGATGGAAAGCAGGTTTGAGGCCTCTAATAGGTCTGGATAGCACATTTCTAAACAGAAAATGCAAAGGAATTTTGCTAGTAGCAATGGCACAAGATTCTGCCAAACACTTTTATCCACTTGCTTGGGCAGTGGTTGATAGAGAAACAGGTAGAACTTGGAAGTGGTTTCTGGGGCTGCTGAGATCTTCCTTAGAGCTGGGAGATGATGAAGGAGTGACATTCATTTCATACAAGAAAAAGGTAATATCATTAACAAATCACAGTTATGTTTTTCACTATTTGTTTACTTTAACTACTAAATGCCTTCTTTGTTTGTTTTGATTGTTGCAGGGTTTGATTGATGTTGTTGCAACTTTGGTTCCTAAATCACATCATAGATGGTGTGTTAGGCACATAGAAGCTAATTGGAGGGGTGTAGAAATGAAAATGTTGTTATGGTGGTGTGCTTGGAGCTCTTATGATGAAGAGTTCAAGGATCAATTGAGGACCCTAGAGACTATTTCTGAACAAGCTGCTAAAGACCTAATTTGGTACCCTCCACAAAACTGGTGTAGGGCTTATTTTGACACAACATGCAAGAATCAGATGGTTGATAACAACTTCACAGAATCCTTCAACAAATAGATTCTAGAGGCAAGACACAAACCAATAATCAAGATGTTAGAAGATATTAGAGTCAAGGTAAATTACTGTTTTAGTAGTTTATGTAACTAACTGATTTTATGTACTGTTATAGTGGTAAATTACTGTTATAGTGGTAACTAACTGTTACTGTTATGTACTGTTATAGTGTAAATTACTTTTATACTGTTATAGTGGTAAATTACTGTTATAGTGGTAACTAACTGGTTTAGTGGTAAATTACTGTTATAGTGTTTGATTATTGGTTTTCCCTTGTATGAAAAGTAATGAAAATGTTAAAAGATCATGAAGATGAATGTAGGACTTGGAGAGATGAATTCAGTCCATATGCCATGGAGTTATTGGGTGATTTCAGAGAAATTGCACAAGGGTGTGAAGTTGATTTTAATGGTGACTTTGGTTATGAAGTGCATGAAGGTCCATAGAAGCATACTGTTAATTTTCAACTTAAAAAGTGCACATGCAGAACATGGGACTTGACAAGAATTCCATGTCCCCATGCAATTAGATGTTTACTTGACAAGAAAGAATAGCTATTGAGTGAAATGCAGAAACCCGTATTCAAAGGAAGCTTACATGGATGTGTATATGCATGAAATACAACCAGTTAGAGGTGAAAAATTCTGGAAAGTAGAACCACATCATGCAATGGAGCCACCAGAAATTATCAAAATGGTTGGTCAACCAAATGTAAAGAGAAAGAGAGAAAAGGATGAGGCAAGGATGAGAGAGGGGGTTTGATCAGCTTCAAGAAAAGGACTTGTCATGACTTGTGGATACTGCAGTGAGAGAGGTCACAACATCAGAAACTGTCCTTTGGTAATGCTACTCATTCCATTCTTATTAACTTCAAAAAAAAATTAACTCATTCCATTCTTATTAACTTCAGAAAATGTACTTTGGTAATGATACCTTCATTGCTTGATCTTCTAGGTGAAAGGGAAACATAGCCACTTCTTCCAAGATGTAGGATCTTTTCAAGAAGTACAAGATGTGCCCTTGACAGCACCCCAAGATAGTCAAACATCAGAATTTGTATTTGTTCCTACACCTGGTATGAGGCCAATGACAGCAACCCATACTCAAAGTGAAACAGCTGCAGAACCAGCAACAATGCCAACAGCAATATCTGCGCCAACAACAGCAGCACCAGCAGCTATGGCAATAGCAATAGCTGCACCAGCAACAGCAGCAATGGCAACAGCAAAACTAGCACCATCAGTTGTTCTGGATGGTGACTATGACTGTGAAGATGGGGATGCAATCTCTGAAGATGATGCTGAACATCTAGTTTGGAGACCTAAGATGATATCTGAAGCTAAGACTAGGCTTCAAAAGAAAAAGTTGAGGCAAATACCAACTGGTACAAGGAAGATTGCATTCAAGAGTGATGAATTTGGTGCCAATCTCCCCGCAAACTTGCCATATTCACCAAGGAAAGTCACTTGGAAAGGCAAAGCAGCAATGACATCAAGACAACTGTTGGAAGAAAAGGAGAAAAAACTTGGTAAATTGAAAGCTAAGAAGATCAAGCTCTAGGGACTTCAATTGTGTATGAATGACAAATTTTAACTTAGGAAACAAAACTATATTTTTGTGATGACTGATTCATAACTAATTATGTATTGTTTTTGTGGTGAATCAGTTGTGGAAGTTGTATTGATTCACCCCAAAAATCTTTTGTTGGGCTTATATTAGGGTGAAACACATTGTGACAAGTGGTTGTTAAGTATTTTGTTGGCTATATATAACTATGCTTTGTTATCTATTGATGATCTTGTTATCTATTGATTGTGAAAATTATTGTATTGGTGTTATTTATTGTCGAATATGCATAACATAATGTTGGTTCTTGTGGCAGTACTTTAGTTCAATGACCATAACATACCAATGAAAACTAGAAATTTATTCAAAACGGAAATACAAAAATACAGACAAACTACAAAGACAACTGCAAATTTAACCTAACTAAAAGCAGCAAATTCCCTTCATTAAACAACTATGCCAACAATCTGCAATCTGCAATTTGGTAAGCCATAACTTCTCTACATAATTCAACAGATTTAGAACTGGTAGAAGGACCAACAGTTCCTATGGTCACCATATTTGGACACTACTAACCAAAACACAACTTCTCTACATCATTTTGTAAGCCACAAATATAACAAAAATAGCCCATGACCATATTATAAACTTTTTTTATTGCTTCAATTTCAACTTCAAATTCGAAACTTTCTCCTCCAATGCAGATACATTATTCAAATTTCCATCTTTACTACCCACCATATCATCGACCATCTTCCTAAACTTATTCCTTTCTTGGCGAAGAGCATCCACTGTAATTTTTTGCTTGTGGATAAACATTGATACATGATGTGGAAGTTCTTCATCGCGCCATTCCCAATAACGACAATCATTACTCTCATAACGAGGACATTTATAGAATCTACGACCACCATTCATAGGTGTCGTAGCAGTAAAATGATTGGCTACCGGTCCGCAATACAAACACGAGCATCACCTAGATCACGAGAAGAATTAGAAGAAGATTCTGCCATTTGAAGCTTAAAAATAAACAAACTCCAATTTATCAAAGAAGTTAAAAGAGAGGAGAGAAGCTGCTGAAATTTGGAGATGAAGTGGGTGAAAATGACCTAAGGTCGAGTGATTTGGGGGGTAAAACAAGGTTTGTTGGGTCGGGTCGGTACATTTGGGTTATGGGTGGGGTAAAATCAGGTTTGGGGGTATGGATTAATTAATAACCAATCAGATAATGCCACGTGGAATTATTAAAATGTTTAAATACATCACAACTCACCCGTTAGAATTAAGGGCACAAGTATGCCAGATTTTTAACGGTAGGGTCATTATTCGCAAAATAGGTTAACGAGGGGCATGTTTAGACTAGAGTTGATACGTTAGGGGCAGGTCTGGCCCTTTTCCAATGAAACTATAATAAAAGACATACACTTGGAACTGGTTCTTCTATCTGGTTTATGTAACTTCATGTTTGCACACTTAAATCACACACGAATTACTTGTAAAATGTCTTGCTATTTTGCTCGCAACTCGCGTTTAACTTCAGTGTTTGTGCATCCCTGTAGAATGAGAACATCCTGAAATATATAGAGTTAGTAGAATAGGAAATAACTAGAGTTCCAATGCTATACTCTTCCTTGGTGGAAGAGTTCTAGTTATCTTCAACTTCTAACTCCTCCCTTATCTTGGATAAAGTTCTCTTCGAGTAAGGAGTCCTTCTCCTTATCACTTATGCAACCTTTTTGTTCAGGAGATATCAGATATAACAACTTAAGCTTATCTCCTTCACATGAATCCCTTGTGCTCAAATCTACCTGTGTCTGTGTGCACTATGTATGGACCTGGTTCATGCTTGAGTTCCTTTGTCAATCATCAAAACAAACTTCACTTGGGCCAACAAATTCCCATTTTTTGATGATGACAAACTCTATTCTTTTAATAAGTATAGGACTTGTTTCAACTCAGCTCAACATCGACACAATGCTAGAACATTTTGCATTTTAAAGTCACAAATCATCAAGGACCCAAATTTACATTTTTTTTCTACATCTTAAGAAAGTAGATTTTAGGGATTGATCACCGATTTAGACCCAAATTTGGAAACTAATTATATATTTGGACTCGACAGGATATGGGTCATCAGTATTTGATATTGATTTCGGATTTCAGGCGCTGGCCGGAGTTGACGTTTTAGAAATTCTTCAAAGATACAAGCTTTATTGATTGTGATTGCTTCCTACAATATTGTTTAACGTTTGGCTAGTTTCGATCCGGTTGGTGGTGATTTCTAAAAGAAAAGCATTTTGGAAGGTTGATTTGACTTGCAAAAGGTAAGTGTCTTGCCTAACTTTGGTTTGAGAAATTTTTTCTAATAAATAATATTATTTGTCACATGCAGGGGTGATATATATATATANGATTACTTTATGCCTTATTTGATTGTGTTATTTACTTGTTCTATATTTTATTAGATCGAATGACTACTTGAGCACAATAAGTCATGATAGAGTTAGTGTTTAACTCTTAAATTTAAAGTTGCTGCTCCAGTTGAGTCCTTTTCAAAATAGTTTCAACACTTTCAAATAACACATATTGGCTTCACATGGGTTAATAGTCGGTTATTTCAAAACCCACCATTAATGTGTTGAGAAGCTCGAAATTTGGAGGATCGATATTTTTTGGTGTTTGTGGTTTGTATTGATAGATTATTGAATATTTTCACCTAACTTCTTATTTCATATATTGTATTTGTGTGAACATATAAACCCATTTGATGAAAAAAAATCCATTAACGAGTTCGAAACTTTTCATATCTGAAATATTTTAAGAACTAGTATTAATATTACTGAATGAAATAGAATGAGTGTTGATTAATATTATTAAAATTATTTGGGTGAAACTCGTCCTAGTGTTTGAGATACATTTGATGATGTTCTTGATCCATTTCAGATGGAGTTTCGTGAGCTGAAGTTTGAAGAAGACGACGCGCAACCTTTATATAATTTGTAATATAAAAGTGTATATTTTTTATAAGTGTAAAAGTATGTATATATCCTTTTATACACTATTATCACTTTTATACAAAGTTGATATATCAATTATAATAAGTGTATAATATTGTATAGTAATATATAAGGATGTATATTATTGTAAAAGAACTGTTCGTTATGCGGATGAAAGGTAAATAACATGATGGGTTTACATTTTCTTTATATTTTGATGATCTAACAAATTTACTGTCAAAGAACTAGATAAGGGACCTGTCACACTTGGTACACAACTCAATCAACGGACTCGAGCTAATGTGAGTTGCGATAACTTCAGAAGATAAAGAATCAGCACAGGGACCTGATCTCCTTGTGTTTTCCTGACAACAGTACGAAGTCAACTGTCTATAGCTGGAAAGTGACTGCCTGCACTGTACATGCAAATAGTGCAGCACA